GAGGAAGTGTGCATCAGCTTCTGTGCTTGTAGACTTCAGTATTTTAAATTGTCCTTCATGTTCCAGACACCCAACACATTTGGTGTATGCACAAAGCATCGTGGGGTCCTGCTCCAGGCCATCAATGACAAAGACATGAATGACTGGTTATACGCCTTCAATCCACTTCTTGCTGGCACGATACGGTAAGAGGCAGTTCGTGGGCAGACAGTGCTGCAAAGGTAAAGATAGTGAGATAGTCGTAAGCAAGGGCAGATAATTTGTCACAGAACTTAATCTCGTTCTGAAGAATTTGACAAGGTGAGTGAACTGAAGGAGGGAGGAGGGTGGGCAACAACAACAAAAAAAAGAGAAACAAGCCCCGTATTTCAGGAAATGGAATGGCTGTTGCTTTGGCTTGTGACATTCTTAACAGATACATCCAGTTTGAACACGTGTGGCATGCTTCATGCATTATTACAGCTGGAGGCCACAAAATGGTTTCCTTGTATGGCTATTTTACAAATTTATAAAGCTTACTGCCTCTGTGCTGGTGGGTCTGGACTGCCTTTTCATTCTCTTAATTGTGAATTAATGCAAAAATTCTCATTTCCTTCCCTGTTTTGAACTTCTCTAGAAGCCTTCGCATTAACACAGGTTACAGACATCCCCTGCTTGCTGGAGAGATCTTACTATACTATAGTAGCTCTTCCTTTCAGTAAAAAAAAAATATATAAAAAAATTGAAAACTAAGCTGTTACTGTACAGAATCAATTAATTTCTTAACAGTGCAGTCCTTAATGATCCTGTCTTCCTTTAAAGGAACACAGCAGAAGAGTGAAAAGTCTTTCTCATTACAGCCCGTGATAAATTTTACTTGCTAAACATATGGAGTAAAATAGGACTATACAAGAGGATTAAAAAAAAAAAAAAAAAAAGGGTGAACAAACTTCCAGAATTCAACAAATAATTTTTTTTACTTCTTTCTTGTGCAGGTCAAAACTGGCTCGGAGACGCACGGGCCAGCTGAAGTACTGAGTCCATGTAATGTTCTCATCTGTTCCCCCTAACTCACCTTCTGATAGATCAAGTGTTACCTCTCATTTTCTCTTTGTGATTCTTGACAGTTTCTCTTGTATGTAATCCTGTGGCTTAACATCCCCTACCTTCCCAACTCCTTCAGCACATTTTCTAGGTATTCTAACCCTACCTTGTTTCTTTTCACTTGTACTGAGAATCATAATAGTAGCATGTGGCCAAACAAAAAGAGAAAGAAAAAAAAAATCAAAAAAATCGAGTGATTATGCACGACTAAAAAGAAAAAAAAATATTTATTTTTTTCTTATAACAATTGTTTTCCCATTCAAACTGACCTTTTGGTGTCTGTCCCACTGTCTGTTGTTGTCTGTCTAGACTGCTGCAGGTTTTTCATTCAGTTTGTGACTTGGCAGTAGTCGTTGGTTCCCTCAGGGCAAAGTTCTAATGCCAGGGAAAGATAAATTCTTCTATGTAGACATTACCCAGCCAGGAACTGCAATAGCTCCTCAGGCTTCCTGGATCCAGCCTCTAATTTAAACTCTGTTGAAAGCTGATATTGGACAAATCTATCTGGGCAGACTGGATTTTGGACTTGGTGTAAGTTTTTGAGTTTCCGGGGTCCAACAGGCTAAGGCGTGAGCTGGAAAAAGATGGGGAACAAACCAAGAGGGGCTGGCTAGAATGATCTGCCTTTAACTCTTGCTGTGGGGTTGCAGGTGAAGAGAGCTTGGCTTTAACTTTCCCAGAACGTTAACACTCACTCCTCTGCCTCTGGACTGAGCCGAGGAGACAGAACTTGTGCTGATGTGAGGAAGAATAAACAGCATCGCTGAAATATTAGATATAATCCCTAAAGTTTTAGATGCTCAGCCTCATACTTGACAGATGGAGAGTGTTAAGTGGAAACAAAAGCGTGGTTGTTCCCTAGGGCGCTTTCAGGAGATCACCGCAGGAGGGCAGTAGCTCCTCTTTCTGCTTTTAGTCCTGACTTCTGAGTTCCTGTAGCGACAGTTCTCACCTCTCTTGGAACAGATTTACGGTTGTCATTGGTGTGTTAGGATAGACTGCTCGAAAGGGCTGCTTTATGCATGCATCCCCCCGCTCTGACACTCGGAGGACATCCCATCTGCTCAGGGGGAAAGCATCCTCTATCTACAAGAGACTCTCTAGACCTAGCACCTGCAGTATTCTCCAGGGAACAGCAGGACACTTTCACTTCCTTTTGGAATAACTGTTGAAGGTCTCCTAAATTCCCCTGCTACAATTTTCGTCAGCTAAAACCCCCTAGTTAGTTTTAACTTGAGAATTAATCTTTCCTGGAGGATGGATCGAGTGGACTCTGCTCCTGGTCAGTGGGGTGTAATAATGGGCTTCTTGGAGATCAGCTGGGTGGTGTTAGTTCTTGACCTACAATCCAGGTTCTCCTTGTGGCCAAAGTTTTGGTCCTTGCCCCGTGAAAGGAAAGCAGAATGAATTTCCTTTCTGAGAAGTGAACTCCTCTTTCTTAGTTAGGTTTTCAGGGAGGTTGTTGGAGGGGGAAGGTGTTTGTTTTCTTTTACTATGTTTCAGACTGCTGTGCTGTACTTTCTTGACTTACCTTGAGCACTGATATAGGGCTAGCTGTGATCCTGGGGAACGTGCAGGAATTTCATCCTGAGGTTCTGACCGCTCAAGGGAGAGGTAAAAGGGTTTTCCACTATTCCAGTAGGCACATCTAGGAACACTCCAGCTCAAAAAGGTAATTTTGATTCGGCTCGCTCATCAGCAGGTCATGCCATGCATTGGAAATTCTGTGGCCAAAAGTGTATGTGGGACGGGCATCAGTTGAGCAATTTTTTAGCTTTATGGGGTTTTCATTCTTCAGTAAAGTGCAATGCATAATGAGACCTCCTAAAAACATGGTCAGCAAAGGAGCAGGGAGATGGAGCCTGACAGTCACTAGGACATACGTTATATATTTCAAGATAATACTTAAGCTAAATCATGGGCTCATGCTATCTCCTATGGTCCTCAGATTTATTTCAGAACTGGAAGCCAGAGTGAGGGAGCATCCTGGGGACCCAGGAGCATAATAGGGAAGTGTTTCTGGTTTTGGTTTTTGGTTTTGTTTTGTTTTGTTTTCCTTCTGGTTATGTCTTGTTTAATTGTGTGTGACTCTTAATACAGTGATGATATTCCTTTGTTACGCAATGGATGATAATGCACTTCCAGTGTGTGGATAAGGAAGACTGCTAGTGCTGCAAGAGGGCTCCCTGAGCTGGAGCTAAGCCGATCTCAAGAATTAGATTAATTTTAAGCACTAAGTTGTTGCTGCCATCACCACCGTTTATAATGAAAGTGGAACCACTTTGAGGAGGGGTAGCGATTTAGGTGGTGTTATTTTGTGACAACCGAGAGCATTTTAATTTTTTTTTTCTTTTTTTTAACTAGAGGAAAACTAGTTGGCTAAGTCTTTGCTTTGGATAAGCCAGAAAATGAATTAAAGGGATATAGGCATTGCATAGAAACATGATTAAGGGATCTTCCTTTAAAAGCAGGAAGAGACAGATGCTTATTTTATACAGAGCTGGAAATGTTACAGCTGTGTTGCGTAAATGTTACTCTTCTATCTAAAGACGCCAAGCAGCTTCTGATGACTTGATGTCTCTGTGGATAACAGATCATCAGAAGAGCAAAATTCTATTTTTAAGCATCAGTATCTCTTAAAGCTGCATAATCTGTGACAAAATAGATTCTTGTTGTGTGGAGTTCAAATGGGCATTACTGTTTTCAGGTCTGACATAAAGCCATACCGTTACAGTTTTTCACCAATTACCGAAGCCTAGTTTGAGACATCAGTTTCCCTACTTAAATCTGGACTGAAATAAATTCAAGTTTTCTTTAAAAGGATAACAAAGATTAAAAAAAAACCCAACAACAAAACAAAACAACAAACAAACCCCAAAGTGGATTTCCATTCACTTTAAAGCTTTTTTGGTCTAGCCCAACATGTTAGGAGTTTCTTTTTAGAAATAGGGCAAGAAGGGAGAAATGTGCTAAGCTGCTTTTTCTTGACATTTAAAAACCCACTGGTGGTTACCGGCTGCGTGTACGCGGAGTCCTGGAGTCAGACAGCTCTTGGGACTCCGCCGCTGCAGACCAGGCATCATGCCGTGGGCCTGCCAGCCCACTGAGCATAAGCAGTGGTAGTAAACTGGATAGGCATTTCTCAGCGAGAATGAGTGTGAAACAGTGCTGTCGCTTGGGTTTTTTATGTCCCTCACTAAAAGAAAGAAGAAAATTTACCTTTTTTTTGTCTATTGCAAACCATGTCGTTGGTGTTGGAGCTTCCTGGATGTTTTAAAACAAAACTAAACCTCCTATACTGTATTTTAGAAATGCACTTTAAGTACCTTTTTAAAGAAGATTCCTATATTCTGGGATGCAGAAGGGAAGGGAGTATTATTTCCAGACCACTGAGAAAGGGTTTTTTTTGGTCAGTGTGTAACAGTCCTTGTTACTGATGAGCAAGGTATTTCAAAGCAAAGACTTTACTTTTTGCTGCTTGTTATCTAATTTACAGGGATTTAATTTTATGTAATGTATTGTATATTTATACATCTGTAATTAATTGCACATTAGTTAAGAAAGAGGATTAGCTTTGGAATAACACCCGTTGGTACTATACAATCAACTAATACTGCCTATGCATATGCATCTTTCTGGTACTCTTGCACAGCCTTAGTTTGTGTTAGTTTGTACTGTGGTGGGTGTTTTTGTTGAAGATGCAGCTGTTAACCCGCTGCTCGAAGGAAGGATACTAATGCTGCTCTGGAACGGTTTGCTGAATGTACTTTAAAATGGGTCTCTAACACGTGTGCGTTGCATCTCTCCATTGTGGTTAATAACCCCAATATGTGGTCTGACCTGTACCGTATGTAGCAGGAACGTATTAATTTTGTGCTTCCTTGTTTAAAAACATCAGCTGTTCAAGAACAGGATTGACTTTATTTTTGTTCAGAAGGCCATTTATGCGTTCTAAGTATTTGAAATCAAAACTAGTCCAACACTAACCAGATGGTCATGTCCAATGTTATTTGGAACAGTTTTTAAATTACCAGGATCAGCTGTGTATTCAGAAAACTGAGGGTGCGGAGGTCGTGAGTCTTAAGTCAATTCCTAATGTTGCCAAGTTAAGGGCCTGATCCTGAGCAGTGCTGAACCGTCATGTCCAATGTTATTTGGAACAGTTTTTAAATTACCAGGATCAGCTGTGTATTCAGAAAACTGAGGGTGCGGAGGTCGTGAGTCTTAAGTCAATTCCTAATGTTGCCAAGTTAAGGGCCTGAGCCTGAGCAGGGCTGACCCGCCTCTTGCTTGCCGTGAAACCAGGGACTAGAAGCAGGGGGAGTCTTGAATGATCGGCACTTCCCAGGATCGGGTCTTAATTTTCCACTCTGCTTGTTCATACTTCATGTGCAGTTGATTAAGGTTCCTGAATTTGGACGTTAGACATGCTGTTGCACTGAAATACATACGTTTTTTTTTAATTGCGGTCCCCATTTCCCTGTTTAATCTCTCTGTACACAAGGTATACAAGGTATATGCTGTATAAGTGGCCTTCTTGAACAAATCTCTTTGCAAACTGATTTCATCCCAGCGAAGGAGTGTATCAGCAACACTGTACATTAATTTCAGGTTTTCATTTTCTTATTTTATTTTGTAAATATATCCGATATTTGGAGCTTGAGTATACAAAATGTAAATATAGTTCATGTATTTGTACTAATTCTGATCCATTTGCTGTATAGCCTTAGGTGTGCAATGCAGATATCTAACTGTGTATGGTAACCTTGCACCACTGAATTGTTAGTGAACGAGGTGAAACAATAAAGGTACAACCAGTGCATTAGCAGATACGACGTTGTGCTTCTTTTATTACGATTCAGTTACTGCTGTCTTGCCTTGACTGCTTGTTTTCAAAACCTGTCCCGAACGAGGTGAAAGAAAAGTGTCTCGGCTGTTCTTGAGAAAGATGGGAGGCCCTTCTTGTCCTTCCTCGTTCTTTTGCCTTTGATACATTACACAGCATTTCTAAGTAGTTTTTGGATGCTTTCAAAAGATTCTTTTACTTGAAAGATAAAATAAAGGGTGTGATAGCGCTGCCAATACTGGACTTGTTTATCTGGGGTGACGGTTAAAAATGACAGGAAGTGTGTGAAATCAAACCACTGAAATATAACAGCAAAGTATAAGGCACCCGCTCTGTGGACGAGGGTGAATCGTTCTCGTCTTGGTCTGAAAGTGGAAAGTTCTTTGTAGCTTTTCTAAGTCACGCTGAGGAAATGGGACAGGGCATTCCCAGATCCCACAAAAAGGGGCTACCGCTTGCTGTCACAACACCTCTCGTAACTGTAAAACAGCTGCACAATGGCAAAATACTTTTATGGGGCTGCTGAAGAGCTCTCGTGGATGTCTTGCTGGCTTCTTGCTGCTGTTGCTGATGCCTTTTTTTCTTTTATTTTTTTTTTTCTTTCTCCCCCCGAGTTAGGCACTTGAGTAACCTGTGAACTTTTGCCGGCTGCTCCTCTGGCAGCTTATTTATACTTGCGAGAAGGCGCTCTGTTTTACTTTCAGATTCATTCTGCTCTCAATGCCCAAAATTAAGGTGGACCAAAAACTTGATGGGTCAGTTTGCCATTCAGAAGGTGCCTTCAATAGAAAGTAAAGATGCTCAGAAGGTAGCTTTGTGGTGACGCCGCGGCCGCCTGTCCTGGAGCGCAGGTGTGCGACGCTGCCCGCTCTCTTACACCGAATTTTAATCTCAGTGCTGACACCCGGTCAGGTTTGGGTTTTTTTTTGCCCAAATCCTAGGACACCTCAAAGACAAAGGGACAGCTGTGATAGCGCGGCGCTGCCTGCAGCCGAGGAGGATGGTTCAACGTTCAAGGCAACGAATTCTGTGTAATTAAAGAATTAAAAAACGCGCGGTGCCCGCTGTGCCAGTGGTAGGTATCGCTGTTGCCATTAGCACCGCTGGCTCCCGGCGGGTGCGGCGGGCGGCGCGCTGGCTCCCGCCGGAGGGTGACTCGGTCCCGCGGGAGCCGCGGTCCCGGCGGTGCGCGGCCCCTTTAAGGGGACGAGGCGCCCGAGCCATCGGCCCATGGGCGGGAGGCGGGGCTCGCCGGAAGAGCCAATGAGCGCGCCCCGCCTCGCCCCACCCC